CTAAAAATGCCTACAACTCAAATTCCATGATTTTGAGCCGAATTTTGATTTTGGTGGTGTAGCCCCCCCCCCCCCTTAAGTAAGACTTTAGTGCGACATTTCGCAGCATAATAAAAATGCGAAAACTTTACCCAACGTCAATTAACTTCTGAGGTGCTAAGGTACTATTATTATCGTTAATGGCAAAGGGAAATATGCAAATATTATTGAAAGTAGGCCGAGCAGTCCCCCTGCCAAGCCTCTGTGAAGGATTTCTTCAGCTATGCACACCATGGAAGTTCACAAGCTCAGAATGTAATCTAGATCCCATTTAGTAAAAAAAACAAACACCCCAACCTTTTCCATGGAATGTGAGGATAATGACATATGTTGGGCCTCCGGGGTGTGCTCCCAGACGGTTGGTGAGTGGTTGGTGGGAGCTCTGGTATAGTTAGCTCCTTTCCTATCACACATCTATCGTCATTATCGTCCCTTCTTTTTTCGTGTTTGCTACTTTTTTGTAAACCTCTAATCCCCGTCACTTATATGGCCTTATTGTGTTGCAAGTGCCGTAAACTTACTTTACTTTACTTTTTTTCTCCCGCTTGTACCGGTGGGTGTCGGGGAAGATACAGACGTCTGTCTGGAGCAAGGCGAGTGGCCTGTGGGAGGGACATCCCGTGAGCTCTGATGGTGTTTGCTACAAATTCACTCCAGCGTCGCCTTGGTCTTCCGCTTGCTCTCAGCCAAAATATTCGATGTTATATGCCCTCAGAGCTGGTTGGCTTGAGGGCATCCGTGTGAGGTGTCCGAGCCACTTTATCTTTCGTTTTTCAATGTGTGGTAGGACTGGTGTTGCTCCTACCGGGTCCCTTATGATTTCATTTTTTTAATTTTGTCTCGTCTTGTCTTGTTAACCACTCTTCTTAAACATTTCATCTCGCATGTTACAAGCTTCCTCTCTAGGGCTTTTGTTAGGGACCATGTCTGACACTAATATGTGAGTATTGGTAAGAAAATGGCGTTGATGAGCTTCGCTTTGGTGCTCATGGGGATATAGGGATGCTTCAGGAGAGGGGCGAGTTGTTAACTGACTGCGCTGGCTTTTTGCCATCCAGTCTCTATTTCTCGATCTAATTATCCGTTTTCTGTGAAAATGATGTCCAGGTATTTGTATTCGCGGCTTTGTTTTAGTTGGAATTCATTGATGTTGATATCCACTTCGTCTGGTCTCCTGCTAAATGTCATGGCCTCGGTCTTGCTAACCCTGATTTTCATGTCATACTCCTCGCAGCTCACGTTTAGTTGGTTCGTATGCTCCTATAGTTGAGTCTTGTTGTTCATCATTGCCAGGTCGTCCGCAAACATGAGTTCTTTGAGTGCCTCTGGATCTGGATTGACCTCCTTTGTAATCTGGTCCATGTTGATCACGAAGAGCAGAGGGGGGATTTTGCAGCCCTACCTGACTCCGGATGTTACTGGAAACCAGTCTGATGTTCAACTGGTATTGAGGACTGCACTTCTGCTGTATGCATACATAGCCCTGATGCTGTCTAGCAGCTGTCCCTTGATGTCGTACTGCTCAAGGATCTTCCATAGCTTGTTTCTATTTACTCGATCAAAGGCTTTTTCCCGATCCACAAATACAAGATGAAGATCTTGGTCAGTGCTGTAAAACCATCACTAAAACTAAAACCAGATGGTTGAGAGTGGTGTATATCTTCGTCTGATCCCCGACTTTTCTTCCGAACTCGTTTAAGTAGGGCGATATTTGTTCGGAACATTTTTATATGAAGTCTGAGTTTCCGAATCCAATTTCAGCTAGCCCAGCAAGTTTTCTGATATGAAATCTCGTCGATTCGACTAGATGGTAAGATAACGATCACCAGCATTAACCAATAATTTGCCCATCTTGCTGTCTGCTGTTTTGGGCCGTGTTTACAACTTTTAAATCACCTTGTCGAATTTTCTCTAGTGCGGCGTGAGATCTTATCGTAGTTCATTCTCTGCTCTGAAACATTATCCCCCCCCCCTCTTGTGAACTGCTCATATCTTTCAGGCGAGAAGTCACACTAATTTGTTGCCGTATGTTTACTTTTACTGCGCTGCCCCATAAGGCATAGAGTACCATTAACCCATAGAGCACTCGTATTAGCGCCCAAAGTATTGCCCTAGACTAACATACTAAAGGTGTAATTATCCTAATTACAAAAGGGTGTCTTGAAAGCGATATCAATTACATGCCAGTGTGCACCTTTTTCACAAATATGGCCAAATTAAGCAAATTGAAAAGGCTAAAAAAAACAACCAAACGATTCAGTTCATAAGTAAAACTTTACCCGCAACGTGACCATAATTATTATACAAGAAATTCAGCTATTTAATTATCAGTTTGTAATTTTTGAAGTTGTAGACCTATTTTAATAGTCTCCTTTAAAAGGAACGACTTCTATGTTGTCGTTGGGTGGGGTTGTTTTTTTTTACACAGTCACATGCTTCCAGTTCCATGTCAAGTTCTACAAATACCGACGAGGAACCAGAAAATATTGGAACTGCTTTAGTCGAAAGTGGAACGTCCCCATACTTGAAACCTATACTATAAACCAAAAAAAGTGTGTTTTACAGTGATAGAAAAAATATGAACGGCGCTTGCGGCCTTCCGTGGGAAGGAAAGGTAACATATTTTACGCCGTCTTTGTTATTAGAGGGTAGCTTTTCCCCAGAGAAAAGACGCATGACGGAGAGGTATCTGCTGCATCATGTTTCTGAAAAGGTTTTTGTGTTTTTGTTTTTAAAAAGTAAATTACGAGTTTCTTGAATTACCCGCCGAGATGGCCCGAAGTTTTCGTAGCTTCCTGTTTGAATTACAGGTGAAGAGTAAACTCATTACAGAAAGCATGTCAATGTATTCCCTACTTTCGGTCGGCTTGACCACTTGGCGAGGTAGCCTTTTTCGGTATGACGTGTTCAGGGTGGACAGCAGCACTGTTACCTTACCTCTCTTTTGTCAAATGTCGGCCGAGTTCTCACAGGTGAGCTGCCCCCCATCCCTTTCTTTCTTTCTCTCTCTCT